CATGCATCCCTCAGCTGCACTCATCTGAAGTCAAGAAAGATTAAGACCCCACCTCTAAAAATAGCCGGGCGTTGTGGTGGGTGCCTGTCGTCCCAGCTACTTGGGAGGCTGAGGCAAGAGCATCGCTTGAGCCCAAGAATTTGAGGTTGCTGTGACCTGTGACGCCATGACACTCTACTGAGGACACCAAAGTGAGACTGTCTCAAAAAGCAAATAAATAAAAAGGAAGGTTTAAAAATAAGGGAACCAAACTTTCCACTTTCAAAACCAGAAAAAGAACAACAAATCCAAAGAAAACAGCAAGAAAGAAAATAAAAGCAGAAATTAGTGAAACGGGAAAACAAACCCCAAACAGAACAAGATACAGAGCTTGTTTTTTTAAAAGACGAATAACATCAAGAAAAAAAGAAAGAAGACACAAATAAACATTGAAGTCAAAGAGACGGCATGACCAAGAGATTAAAAAGACCATTAGGAACAACTTAATACCCCCGATTTGAAAACCTTGATGAAATGGACACTTTTCTAGAAAAATATTTATTAGCAAAACTGGCTCAGAAAGAAAGAAAAATTTAAGTCAGTAGCCAAAAAGGAAGATGAAATATTAAAGTGCTACCTCCCCAAAGGCATTCGAATTTGTATATATCAAAAAACAAAACAAAGACTGTAAGTTTGACTATTATTAGCTACAAATACAGAACATCCTTCTGACCTTGGAGTAGGGACAACTCTGCTAAATGGCAGGAAGCGGAAAACTCGTAGAGGACAGAATTGATAAACTGGACCATATTGGGACAGAACGTACCTATACTACAAGATACTTTCAAAGAGTTAGAAGACCAGCAGCGCGCTATCAGTGCCATTTCTGGGTCGTAGCAGCAAAGTCTTAGTATCTAGATTCTAGAATCTGCAGCAAACTCCTATACACTGGTAAGAAAAGCCAACAGTAGAAATGGGCAGAGAGGACTTCACAGGGTTGTCACAGAAATAGCACATGTCCAGATGGCTGAGCGGCATTAAAAGCCGTATGAACCGAAGTTAAAACAACTATAAAAGCCAACATTTACCCATAAGGTGAGCAAAAACACCTTAAAATTCTGCCAGGTCAAGGTACTAGAGGTTACGGGGTCATGAGCCTTTATCCTGAGCTGGGGAGCATGTCCATGGCGGACCCACTTTGGGTGACAATTTGGTAGTGACGGTTAAAACTGAAAATGTGTGAGTTCTACTATTAGTAACTCTACTCTCATGATTGACCTTAAAAAGAAAAAAATATATATGAGCACCCAAGAAGGTTTGTATGAAGATGTTCATCTTAACATTTTGAAAATCACAGCAAACCAATGTTTGTTGTGTTGCTGGGTTTAGGGGTTCCCCAGGCGGCAGAGGGATGGTTCCACCAGGCTGCGCATATTACGTGGCCGTAGAACAAACGAGATCTTTATAAATTGATATGGCTCGGTTTCAAAAATATTGTTGGGTGGAAAAGGCAAGATGTAGGATGATTTATACAATATGACACCGTTTTATAAAATATAAACAATATGATACAATTGTAGGTACATGATGGTATTATAAAACGTGTATGTTTTAAGCATGTGCGAACGTGCGGAAAAGTGTTTTAGAACATCTGGAAGGAGAAAGGCCAAGACTGAGGGATTTCTCGGGGAGGGGGTACCACGGTAGCCAAAGGGCGGTGGATAGAAGGGGACATTAAATTTTATCTGCAATGCTTTACATTTGTAAAAAGGGTATAAAATGAATATCATGTATCAACAAAGTTACGACAAATTTAGATAAAGGACTAATTGGCTTCTATTTGTGATTCAGGAATCAGAGCAGCCTTCATTCTACAAAATGGGATGAGAGTTCCCACAGTGGGACCAGGGAGGCCAGCAGTGGGGTCTGTGCAGCGGGAACAAGAGAACCAAGTAGGAAGAAAGCTGATTGGTTAACATCAGGTTACTTTTTTTTGGCAAGGGTTGAAGTCCAAGGGACGTCCTTATGATGCTGACTTAGGTAGACTATGATCTCCTTTTTTTAGGAAAAACTTGTCCATTTTGAGTTCCATCTTCTCCCTGAAAGTTTCGATGTGATGATGGGGCATTTAGCATGAATGAGTCCATCTTGGTCTGGTCTGTTGGAGCTGAGGACAGAAGCACAGTTCCAAACAGGAGTCTCCTGCATTTTTGTTCAACAGTCACTTGTGTGATCACAGTAACAACACATCGAGAAGTGCCGGGGCAGGGATGGGAAGTGCTGCTGTACTGTGGCTGAGTGAGGGTGTGCTAGCAGGTGAGGCTCACATGCAGGCATTTACCTGCTGTGCAGAGTGTCCCAGCAGATGCCTCCTGGCCTCCAGTGGGGGTAAAGGTGAGTGGGGGGGGGGCTGGAGCCAGAAGCCAGCTACAGCATCTTCCAAGTATTAAGCCTTGGTGGGTACGGAGGACAACCCCAGGGTGAGAACGACAGTTGGAAAGTATTTAATTGCTTTTTGCCTTTTGCCCCAGATGGACCGAGACATCTATCTGAGTGAAAGGAAAGTGGGGTTGATTGCAGAAGGAGTGCAATGAACAAGCGCAAGGTAACAAGACTTTGCCAAAAGAAAAAAATATGCATGTGTGTATATGTATGTATCGGGACATTTCTCCCACTCTGGGCATCACTGAGGTGCAGGTGCAGCAGCCAGTGCTAGTAACACGAGGCCACCTGCAACATAAAGCTGGCAGCACAGCGTGGTCAGGAAGGGAGGCCTGAGGCTTAACCGTCCTAAACCAACCCAGCCTCCTGTGTGGTATGTGTAGAGCCTGGCACAGTCGAGAGCCTGCCCAGAGGTGTTAGAGGGCCCCCCATGACAGGGCAAGGAGGCAAGACCACAATGTAGATTCTAGGTAGAACTACCAGATTCAGCAAATATATACACAGGATCCTTGTTCATTTGAAATTTTAGGTACACATAGAATAACTTTTTAGTATAACCTTGTTCTATGTCCCATTTGTTGTTTATCTGGAGTTCAAATATAACTGGTTGTTCTGGAACCATTTTATCTGGAAACCCTGCAAGACTAGGGTTTCAGAGGGCCCTGCCAGGCCTCAAAGTGTTCTGGGGTCTTGGTGGGAGCCAATACGAGCTCAGGGCAGACATGGGCACCTTCAGACTTGGCTGGACTCCTGGAAATACCAGGAGCCACAGGGGCCAAGAGAGGCCACAGGTTCAGCTTGTCTCTGTCCTAGGGGTATGCAGGGTAACCTTCACCTTTCTCCTCTAGACCAGATGTCAACTCTTCAGAAAGGAGGCCTATGGACATTATGCCCCAGAGACTGAGCTTTACCCAAAGGCCGTTCAAAATATCCTTTACTGCTACCATTTTTTTAGGACAAAAAGTTTATTTGTTTATTCCACTTGGGAACACCTGGTTAGATGCAGACTGAGTCAAAACCGTCCCTTTCCTGGGCTCACCTGAACCCAGTGGGCGTGAGCTGATAACCCAGCTGCCCCTCTCACTGCAAACTTCCCAGCTGCCTCTCCTCTGTCCTCTCTGTGTATCATGCCTGATACATGTACTCTTCAACACGTCAGCAGCCGAGGCTGGGCAGCAGGTCAGCTTGCAACATGGCTGGGCTGTACTATTTAACAACCTTAATCACATTCCTCACCCTGGTGTTTATGGGAGTGTGAGGCCTCAGAGTCCAAAGTATGCAGCAGTAATGAACGGGGCCAGCACCAGAAGCTCCAGGCTGCAGAAGGGGTGTGGGGGATTGGGGAGAGGACAGCCTCCGGCTGGCCCTGTGGTCCCAGCCTTGGGTCCTGGGTTCTCAGTCCCTTCTCCCTGCCCAGCCTCCATTCTGTCATGTTTACTGTGACCTCTTTCTGTGCCCAAGATGCTGGGTGGTGCGGGGACAGCCCAGGCAACACAGATGTTCTGCTGCAGGCCCTGCAGGCTGTGGGGGGTCGGGGTGGGGCTGCAGGCTCTGGGGGCCGTGTAGTCATCCCAGAGCCCAGGTCTGGGGGTGTGGGAAGAAATTCACTTTCAATGGAAAACTGAGTGTTCTGTGTACTGCACAGCCCCATGCAGTCTGAGCCTGGCCTGTCATCATATTTCTTGAAGCTCTCTGCCAGCAGTGGGCACTGAGGGACATCAGGGTATATTGTCCAGTGGAGGTTCAAGTGCAAGGCTCCTTGGGCCCTCTCTTAAATGATAATTTCCATATTTTTTAACAGGTTGTAACATACGTCTGGTTCCCTGGTTGATTAACCAGTAAAGTCTCTAACACCCGTTATATTTATGTTGGAATGAGAATCAGGATTTTACCTTCTGAAAATTACCTTTTAACAGGTGTTAGCAGGCCGACTTAAAATCTCATTTCTGGAATTTACTGACTTTGTGACCTTTGGGAGATTGCTTAATTGCTCTGTAATGGATATCAATTTGCTTGGAAGAGGAGGCTGGAGAGGCTAGTGTAAGAACAGGAGCCCTAGAGCCTTATAGAACCCTGAGCTCAAGTCGCCCAGGCCCCGCGGGCTGCCCCCAACTTCCCAGCTGGCCCCGCCCCACTCACCGAGGCCCCGCCCGCCCGCCTCCAGGTCCTGCTCCGCGGCTGCCCCTTCCCGCCCGGCCCCGCCCCCACGCACCTAGGCCCCGCCCACCGGCCTCCAGGTCCTGCCCCGCGGGCAGCCCCTTCCCGCCCTGCCCCGCCCACTCAGCTCCAGGTCCTGCCCCGCGGGCAGCACCTTCCCGCCCGGCCCCGCCCCCACGCACCGAGGCCCCGCCCACCCGCCTCCAGGTCCTGCCCCGCGGGCAGCTCCGCCCCACCTGGCCCTGCCACCACCCACGGAGGCCCCGCCCCACTCGTCCGGGCTACAAATTCCCACCTCTGAGCCGCAGCCCCGAAATCCGCGGGAATCTTGGCCAAGCTGGGAGCCGCCTTGCGCACTCTTCATTGGCCTAGGCGGCGCGGGGGCGGGCCGGTGTCTGTCATTGGCTTTGGGCGCCGTGACGCTGCGCAGCCGGGTGTCATGGAGGCCCCGGTGGTGACTCGGAGTGCTTCGCGGCGGCAGGGACGGCAGCTGGGGGGCCTGGCTACCGCGGAGGCCGGGATGCTCGCGGAGTCAGAGCGGCGGCGGCGGCCGGGGAGGAGGTGGGGACCGCGGGGGTCAAGAGTCGGCTGCTCCTGGGCCTGAGGCGCTCCTCGCACCGGCAGGGTGGATGCGGGCTCTCCGCGCAGACCGCGGGGACAGCAGTTGTCCTCTCCCCTCTGCCCTCGGTCCGCGGTGGGGGTCCTCCCCGTCCTGCCACCTCGCCCCACTGCCGGGCAGCCAGCCCCTGGCCCTCGGGCCAGACAGGGCCCCCTCCCCTTCTCAGAAATGGATATAAGAGGGCCTGTCCGGAACACCTGTGCCACATGGCTGCTGGTCTGTGTGCACTTACAGATGCCAGCTGGTGGGAGGGGGTAACTTTCTGCAGGGGTGACATTTGTACTGAGTTTTGGGGGAGGAGGGTGTCTAGTTTTGGGGGACAGAATAGGCAGAGCCAGAAAGGGGCAGGAAAGAGTGACATACCCCTCTGGGCCTGGGCCTCCATTCTTTTTGGGGCATTTGTCCACTGCATAAACCCTGGTCAGAGGTTTCTGGGAGCAAGTTAGGAGCGCAGGCATGGCTCTAGAAACAGCAGCCCTGGCTTTCCTCTTAAACCCAGAGCAGTGAGACTGATGGGTGTTTCAGGCTGTACCATGGCAGAATGGTGAGAAAGACATTTTTGATCAGGAGGAATGTGGGGATGGTTCTTCCCTTCCTGGTTGAGGAACTACTGGTGACGGAGGTGAACTGCTACAGACAGGCTTGTCAGAGCGGTCCTTGAGGGGGTACCTACCTGAAGGGCAGTGAAATCAGCAAGGGATGGGGTTTGGGGAGAGGAGGGTGGTGAGAGGACAGTGCCAGCTCCCCTGGAATCGGCCTCCCCCACCCAGTGTCATTCCAGAGGAACCAGGTCAGTGCTCAGTGACAGCAGATCCTATGGCCACCCAACCTCTGAATGGAAGTGGAATGCTGGTCAGTGGTACCCCAGTGAACAAGGAAGTGGGCTTGGTGGATTTAGAGCAGGTGTCCTCAAACTACAGCCCACGGGCCACATGTGGCCTGCCGAGGACATTTATCCAGCCTGCCAGGTGTTTTTGCCGCCGCTGCCTGTCCTGCTTAGCAGGTGACTCACCCTGGGCCCTGCAGTCTGGTCCTTCAGTAGTCAGAGGGACAGTGAACTGGCCCCCTGTTTAAAAAGTTTGGGGACCCCTGATTTAGAGAATCTCACCTTTGATGCTCATGGCCTGCAAATGGCTCCTGCAGTGTCTTCTCACTGTTCTTAAAATATTTGTTTTTTTAAAGAAAGGAAGCTGTTTAATTTAGATTGATTGATTCAGGGTCTCCCAACTTAGTGTACCCAAGGAACTCTTTGTGCTGTGACATCATCTGTGAGTAGCTGAAGGATTATTGCTCTGTGGAATATACTGGGGAAGGGTAACCTAGGGGGAAAGCTTGGCCACTGCTCCCTTAGGACCTGAAAACTTTCTGGTTCTTTGTGTATTCTTTGTCCCTTGGCTATAGCTAAACCTGTGGACCTTGGGAAGTCTATATCTTGGTCTTTGCAGTGAGGTCTGTGGGTGGCTGTTTTAGAAGGTGTTTATTCTTAATAGCCATTGCCTGTGTGCTCAGGCAGAAGCCAGGGCAACTAGGACGAGCAGGGCTCTTGGCGGCCTTTGACTGGAACGGGTCCCCTAGTTTACACTAAACAGTGTAAGCCAGAGAAGCTCTCTGCCTGCGTGTCTAGGTGAAACTAGGCCATTTGCTTCTGGGTGTTCTTTTTCTTTAATAAACATTTAAAAATTTTTCTTTGCTTAGAATCGAAGAGGACGAAGAAGAAGCAGTCTTTCGAGAAGTGGTCAGTTTTACCCCGGATCCTTTGCCAGGTGAGAAGACAGAGGCTGTGACCACTGTCTCACGTCCCCTCCAGGGGCTTTTGGGTTGCTCTCTCACCACTTGCAAGCTCTCTCCATGTTGCCGTGAGAGCACTGCCGTTAATCCTATGATTTCCATTAATTCCTCCATGTTTTCCTCCTTGGACCAGTTAGATACTATGACGTGGACACCACCGAACCTATCAGCTTTTACTTCTCTTCGCTGGAGGAGCTCTTGGCGTGGACACCCCACATGGAGGATGGCTTTAATGTGGCCCTGGAGCCCTTGGGGTGCCGCCAGCCCCCTCTGAGCAGCCAGAGACCCCGCACATTGTTGTGCCATGACATGATGGGCGGGTACCTGGACGACAGGTACGGACCTGGCCTCGAGTTGGCTTTGTTGCCTGTTTTTTTTTTTTGGTGAGGGGGCAGGAGAAGGAGTGGGGAGAGCCCAGGTGGGCAGGGGTCAGCCACCCGGCTCTACACTAACTGGGAGGGAAAGTCAGGCGTTGGTGCTTCATCCGTAGAAGGAGAGGATTGGAATAGGTGATGCCTTATGTTTCCTTCTGAAATCGTTTGATTCCTCAAACTGCTTGAATTGGAAGCCTGGCAGATGGGTGAGGGTGTGGCCGCAGCATCCTCCCCAGGCCACCTGGCCCAGAGCTTTGCGTCTTCTCTTCAGCTCTGATTCTGGGTCACTGGGCTCTGGCTTCACGTGCCACTCCCATTCCCAGCAGTGGACATTCCATTCAAAGCTGTGGTGGGGTCAGATTAGAGCTGTTAAACGTCCATAAAATGATCTTGGGCGTTATGGTTGACAGGAAGCATTGCGTCAGAGCGGGGCTACGAAAGTGTGGGTGCAGCTCCTGTGGCGGGTAGCCCCTGCCTTCAGGTGCAGGGAGACTGTCCTAGAGGAACTGCTTGCGACTGCACAGAGCGGGGAGGCCAGTGACTTGCGCTTTGATGTGGGCCCTTCTGTTTTCCTTTCCTTCTCTCCTTTTTCATCTGCTCACTGACGTAAAAATGCTTAGTCTGTCTGGGTCCCATGGCCGCCATCTAATGTCCTGGTGAAAATGTTTTCCTTATGCTGTGGGAACAGCAGCTCGTTCTGCTCTGTGCTGTGCCCACACAGGGCCTGGATACAGCCTGCTTTCAGTTGGCTGAATGGAACTGAAGGGAAGCCTTCTTTGGGGTTGTCCTCTTTTCACTTTGAGGCCAGTGTGTCCCCGTTCTGTTTCCGGGAACCTGACTCTGGTCTGTCTCTCCACCAGGTTTATCCAGGGCTCAGCGTCACAGAAACCCTACTCCTTCTATCATTGGCAGTACATCGACATCTTTGTGTACTTCAGCCACCGCACAGTCACCATCCCCCCAGTAGGCTGGACCAATGCTGCCCACCGGCATGGGGTCTGTGTGCTGGGTAAGGGCCAAGGACTCATCTCCCATACCTGTGAGGTGACCCAGGGACCGGATGGCTCTGGCTTTGCTGCATAGGGGGTGGGGCCCCTCATTGTGGCTGCCTTGGCAGGTTAGGACAGGTGTCTGCAGGGAGTCACTGCCAGCTAGTAAGTGTTTTTAGCTTTGTAGGCCATTGGGTCACAGCTGTAATTACTGGCATGGGGTAAACAAATGGGTAAATCTGTGACCTAATAAAAATAGAAATATAGATTGTGATTGGCTTTGGACCAAGGGCCGTGGTCTTCTGACCCCTGGTTAGAACACTGCTTCTCAAGTATCAGCCAGAATCAGGTCACTTGTGGGTACCCAGAGCCGTGATGCTGCTTCCCACCACAGACTCACTAGATACCTGGGGATGGGGCCCAGGAATTTGAATGTCTGGTAGCGTTTAGGTGACACTGATGCTGCTGGTCTGGGAGCCCCATCATGTGAACCCCTTGGTCAGAGGGAAAGTGACTCCTGTGGCTGACCTCATTTCTCCCTGTCACACAGGGACTTTCATCACGGAGTGGACCGAAGGCGGGAAGCTCTGTGAAGCCTTCCTGGCAGGGGACGAGCTCTCATATCGGGCGGTGGCCGACCAGCTTGTCCGGATCGCTCAGTATTTTCGTTTCGATGGTTGGCTGATAAACATCGAGAATTCCTTGAGCGTAAGTGTAGGTCCCAGCCCCTTGCTGCCCTGCTGTCGACCCCACCGCTTTCCCTGGTCTCACTGTGCCTCACACTTGTCCCCAGGCTGTGGCTGCAGGGGGTGAGGGAACTATCTGTTGCCTCCCAGGCAGACCCAACTGTAGTCTTAGTTCTTTTGCAGTGAGTGGGAATCTCCTGCAGCTCTGTTCCTGTGCTCACTTTCCCCACTCTGAGGTGTGACCACACCTTTCGCTCCTCCCAGCCATGCCTGTCTGGGGCTGGGGTGGGGGGTGTGCCGTTCCTGCGCTCACTTTCCCCACTCTGAGGTGTGACCACACCTTTCGCTCCTCCCAGCCATGCCTGTCTGGGGCTGGGGTGGGGGTGTGCCTCCCTTTTCCCGGCACCCTCCCTTTCTAGTGCCTTTTGTCTTTTCTTGGTGGCTGTGGGGTTTTCAGGGCTGAGGCTCTGTTCGTGGATCTGTTTGCTTTTGTGTCCTCCTGTGTGTCCCGGGCTAGACACTTCTCATGACAGATGTGTCTTGGCTTCCTCAAAGGCCTTGTCCTTGTCCCTGTCTCCCAGCTGGCGGCTGTGAGGAGCGTGCCTTTCTTCCTCCGGTACCTGACCACTCAGCTGCATCAGGAGGTCCCAGGGGGCCTGGTGCTCTGGTATGACAGTGTGGTGCAGAGCGGGCAGCTCAGATGGCAAGATGAGCTCAACATACACAACAGGTGGGCCTGTGGTGACACCTCCTGGAAGCAGTGTGTGTGCAGCTGCTTTGGGGACAAACAGGGAGGAGGCACGGAGTTGTCTCCTGTCCTGGCCATCAGCCTGCACAGTAGTGCTGTGCTCAGGGTTGCAGATGAGGACTGGTGGGCTGGTGCCTGCTCTTTGGGTGTAGGCTGTATTCTGGGCGCTGGTGGCAGCCCCTAGCCTGTGAGTTGTGAGTGACTGAGCATAGGGAGGGGGAGGCTGAGACCGCTGAGGATTGTCCCCCTGGGCCTCAGCCTCATGGCAAATCCCTTCTACCTCTCAGGGTCTTCTTTGATTCCTGCGACGGCTTTTTCACCAACTATAACTGGCGCGAGGAGCACCTGGTGCGGATGGTGGGGCAGGCTGGGGAGCGCCGGGCAGACGTGTACGTGGGTGTGGATGTGTTTGCTCGCGGGCGCGTGGTCGGAGGCCAGTTCAACACAAACAAGGTGGGTGGAGGCCTTTGCCCCAGAGCGCTGGTGGCCCGCGTGCCCTCCCTGGGCTCTTGCTTCCTTGTGGACCCCCATTCCCAATCTACACCTGAAGGGAAAGAGAGGCCGCAGCTGCTCTTCCCAGGTGAGGAAATGGGGCACTGCGCTGAGGCCAAGCTGTCTCCCAGCGAAAAGCCTCACTTCTGGCCATTTCTGCAATCGCATAGTGCATTTTTGTGGGGAGTTAATGGACAGAAACATCCTGTTCTGATGTCTGTCTGGTTTCTAGCTGGTCTTGACGTCCTTTGATAAGCGCTGCATTAATATTTTACCATCCTGGGCCAACGTAGGCCACGCAGAGGGCCCTGCTGCACTGGAGTAGCTCATGCCTGAGGCCTCAGGGATCCAGGAGTGCAGCCTTTTGACTGAGGCCAAATTATAAAATAAATCCATTTAGTAAAATCCAAATTATAAAATAAATCCTGGGAAGTTTGGGTTCTGTTGAGGGGCTATCCCCAGAGATCTGGAGGGCCACATATGACCTTGAGGTACAGGCTCCCCATCTCTGGCAGTGGTGTAATGTCTAGTGAGAATTTTCTGGCAAAGCAGGTCACGTCAGCAGATGAGGGGGCTACCCCTGATGTAGGATGAACAGGGATTGGCCTGTCTCTGGCCCATCAGACCTGCCCCTTCCCAGGGCTACAGTGAAGTTCTCAGTCATTAATTAAGCTTTGAATGAATACATTAATCCAATAACAAGATTCATTTTGCCCCCTGCAATTCTAATCATAATGAGAGGTGTATGTGACAGGGAGGTTGGGTGGCCGGCAAGCAGCCCCAGTGCCCACCCCTGTGCCCGCTACCCCAGACCTGCTGTGCTGCCCGCCCTCCTCTGGCCGGCGTGGGGAACAATGAGATGAGCCCAGAAGTGCCCAGGTGGAGTTGGGAGGGTGGGGCGTGGACTTTGTCCCCTCCCCTTTCTGAGTTGGCTCTGAGAGCCCCCCACCCCACCCCATGTCATCGGCACCCAGGAGCCTGTCTGGACTCTGACCGTGGCGCTGCTGGGTGGGAGGCATCTCCCTGACTTCTGTCTCCCCAGTCATTGGAGCTGATCCGAAAGCATGGCTTCTCTGCGGCTCTGTTTGCTCCGGGCTGGGTGTATGAGTGTTTGGACAAGAGGGAGTTCTTCCAGAACCAGGACAAGTGAGTCCTGTCATCCTGGGGGCTAGTGTGTGTGATGGGGGGAGGGGATGGCTGTGGTTTCTCTGGCTTCTGGCAGTGACCCCTGCTCTTGCTCTCCAGTGACACTTTGCATCCTGGGTTGGTTAAAGGAGGACAAAGGGCCTTGGCTGCTTCTGGGTGGGGGACCCACCCCAAGCAACCACTTTCTACAGACTGGCCTCTCTAGCACGTCTGGAGCCAGGGGAGTTGCAGTCCCCTGGATGGCCTGTCTTGGAGGGCTCAGGAGAACCTCAAGTTACAAGCAGTGAGTTTAGTGGGTGTTGACAAGCCGCTTTGCTCTGGACTGAACCAGGGCCTTCTGTGTCTCTTCGGTAGGTTCTGGAGTCTGCTGGAACGCCACCTGCCTACACACAGCATCTGCTCCTTGCCTTTTGTCACGTCTTTCTCCCTGGGCATGGGGACACGAAGAGTGTGCTATGGCCAGGTATGTGGATCAGGAGGTGATCCCTGAGGTGCTGCCCTGCCCTGTCTTCCAGCTTTGACTGGGCTGGGTGGGAGGAGCCTCAGGTGTGTCAGTGGGGTGCTTGAGCCTTGCCCCTTACACTTCTGCACCCTTGCCCTGCTGGCCTCCCCTGAGGCCCACATCCTGCCCTTCAGGAGGAGGCCGTGGGGCCCTGGTACCACCAGAGTGCCCAGGACATCCAGCCTTTGTTTGGAGAGCACAGGCTGGGAGGGGACAGCGGCGGCTGGGTGAAGACACGCTGCTGCCTGGTGGACGCCTGGCACGGGGGCAGCTCCCTGCTCCTCCAGGGCACGATCCCACCCGAGATTGGGAATGTGGCTGTGAGGTGGGTCAGTGATGGGGGGATGTGCGGGCACCAGCTCCCCCAGTGACTGTAAAACTGGGCAAATGGGGCAGTGGGAGCCTGAGAGAAGACAGAGAACAGACCCATATTATTATTTTAAAAATTTACGGTCTAAAACCATAACATAAAACTCAATATCTTAACCATTTTTAAGCATATGGTAGAAGTCAACTCTAGGCTAATCATTGTGTGACAGTTCTCCAGAACTTTGTCATCTTGTGAAACTAAAGCTTCCCTCACAACAGGTAGCAGTGCCCAGCCACTGCCCCCACCCCGGGAGCCCTGTCCATTCTGTGCCTGTGAGTCCGACATACCATACCCCTCACAGAGGGAGTGGTGCAGCATTCAGGGCCGAGACTTTTCATCCCTGGAGAGTCTGGCCTTGGGCGAGACCTATCTCATGTCAAGGGCAGGCCCAGATTGCCTATTCCTGGGGCAGAAGTTGGTGGGTGCGATCTGGGGCTGACCATCTCCCAAAGGAGCCTCTGCCTGTGGCTGCTCATCATTGGTCTTTCTCCTCCAGGTTATTCTCCCTGCAGGTACTGATACCCCCCAAAATCTTCCTGTCCATGGTGTATAAACTTGAAGGGCCCACGGATGTCAGGGTTGCCTTGGAGCTGACCACAGGGGATGCCAGCAGTTGTCACGTCAGTGGCATCTCAGTGCTGAATGGTAAGAAGAGGGGTGGCCTTGAGAGGCTCAGGCTGGTGTGAACAGTGTCGAGCAGAGTTCCCCTTGGCTGGAGTCAGGGCGGCTGTGGCCTAGACCTGGGCAGGGTGGACTCAGTTCCCAGTCCAGATCTCTGCCTCGGGCTTCACTGAGCACTGCAGCACAGCCTTCTGTGTGGGCTAGCCGGGGGACAGGGTCTTGAGGCTGTGGCAGCCAGGGAGGTGTGACAGGTTGGGAGAAGCTGGACAAGTGACCCTTCTGGCTTCTCCCTGCACATCTTCCTTTGGTAGGCTCCTTTCTCAAGTCCTATTTCTCTGTCTGCAGAAACAAGTTCAAGGCACAGCCCCCGACCCCTCCAGGTGCCCCCCACCAAGCTGGCCAGATGGGCGGGCCGCTGTGGTCAGCAGCTCAGTGGGGGCTGGGTCCAGCGGTAAGTCCCTCTGCTTCCTGTTGAAAGCCCAGCAGGAGATGGCCACACTGACATGGGGAAGGGAGGAGTGAGGGTCCCTGTGGAAATCCCAGAGGGACAGAGGGCCCTGGAGTTGACCCTCTAGGTTTGGGACAGCTCTGAGATACAAGCATAGGACACTCAAGGGTTAGGGATAGGGTTCAAGGTCATGGGGACTTGCCTTACATGGGCCCAGGGTCTATTCTGGGGTGGGGTTCCCTCCGGCTGTGGCCTGGGGCCTGGAAGCCACCGAGCTGGCCAGGCCTGTGACAGCCTGCTGGCTTCTCCCAGCTGCTACGAGGTGAGCCTGCGTGGGTGCCTCCTCCTGGACCTTTTTGTGAACTTCTCACGGCCGCCGGGCAGCCAGAGGCAAGAGAGCTTCATCTGTCGCCTTGGAGAGATCCAGGTGATGTGTCCTAGGGGCCTCAGGTGATGTCTGTCCAGTTGGAGGTCCAAGCTGGACACTGCCCTGAGGCTGCTCCCTTTTCTGATTCAGCAGGGAGCTGGGGTGGAGGTAGGCAGTGGAGATGTGCGGGTTGGGGCACCTTCCCGTCTCTCCCTGGGTCCCACTGTGCTGAGCCTGCCCTCTCTCGCCAGGTGGTGGATGCCAACAGCCTACTGGCCCCTCTGCCCCAGGTACAGGCTGTCACCGTCATACACATCCGCTGGCGGCAGGCTACTCCTGCCCAGCTCCAGCTCAGCTGTACCCTGCACTGGTCCTACCTCCTCTCCCAAGTCTGCTGTTTCCGTGTCCACCACCGGGCAGGGGTTAGAGGGAACACTCATGGCAGGGAGCTGCCAGGACCAGAGAAGCCCACTTTCTTGGGCCTGGCCTTTGCCAACCAGTACCGGATAGTGGACCTGCTAGTGGAGGCTCCTGGGCTGGGCCAGGATGGTCGTGTGGAGTTCCTGGTGGAGCCTGTCCCCAGGGAGGGGTTCCTGGTACCACAGGCTGAATGGGGTAGGGCGACCCTGCTCTACGCTGCCCCCGTGTGAGCCACTGTCCTAGCTGCCTGCCGAGGTTCATTTCTGCCCAGCTCTCTGCTGTGGGCCTGTGTCCTACCACGTGCAGGCAGTGGTGGCCAGATCTAGGTCCCAAAGACTGGGTTGGAAGACCCTCGCTCCCTAGAAGCCTGGGTCCCTGTCTACGGCTCTTTGGTGGGGTGTTGGAAACAGAAAAGCTGAGAAGTCAG